TTAAACATTATGTATATTCACAGATGTGTTTATTTGCTTTATATATTTATATATATATTTACATGTAAAGCAAATAATCACATCTGTGAATATACATAATGTTTAATGATATACAATACATATGTAATGTTTTTTTCTTCTAGAAATGGAATCTAGCATATCACCAAGAAATAAAGCAAAAGAGTTGAAGAAAAAAACACAGTAAGGAAGAGATCCAGTTTCTGTTAAATGTGTTCTTCTTGTTCGATGAAGAAGGGATTCTGTCAGAGAAATTTCACGTTGAGAAAGTTTCTGACAATGTTCCAATGCATCTGACAGAATCTATCTACAAAACCAGATGGCCACAAAATCTATAATCAGCTCTTTTTGATTCTGTCTTATGGACAGATCAGGAAGTAGTTGGTGAAGGTTCATCAGATGAGGATTTTGTGGAATCATCCAGGCCGGGTACATCAAGGCAGCCTACACTACCACCACAGAGAAGAGGCAGGACAAAGAGGAGTGCGGGAAGGAGAAGAGCTACAGTGCCAACTAGGTTTGCTCCTTCCCAGCAGGAAAGGCCTCTCACCTGCAATGGATACCTGGACCTGACTGCAGATCACCAAAGAGGAACCTCTCCATTTACTTCCATTCAATTGAGGTGAACCTGTGTCCTGACAGGTCACATCTACAAAAGTTACTGATTAAAAAATTTTTTTTTACTATTGAAGCTTTAAACCATATTGTTATTGAAACAAATTGATATGTACAGTCTAAACAGCCACAGCAAGAAGGTGAACCACCATGGAGATAAACAGTAAAATGGACTGATGTGACTTCTGAAGATATTTTAGCATATTTTGGATTAACAATAGCTATGGGACCCAAGCCTCATCCTTCTCTTTCTGACTACTGGTCTATCTATCTTCCTTTTCATACTTCTTGACTCTAACATCTTCTCTAGGGACAGGTTTTTAGCTATCCATACTAACTTACATTTCAATAACAATATTAATACTCTTTCTAGAACTGACCCTAACTGTGACAGACTTTTTAAGGTTAGATCTATCATAGACATCTACTAAAATATATAGTTTTCCACTATTTTCATAACAATAAACTAACTATATATGAACAGATGTTATGGACAAAATGTAGAATTGGTTTTCTCCAGTATTTACCAAAGAAACCTGTTGAGTGGGGTATCAAGTTGTTGGTCCTGGCAGAAGCTGTGAGTGGACACTGTTTGAAGTTTAAAATCTACACAGGCAAAGAGGGACAAATGCTAGCTAGATGTTTAGCAAACAATGTTGTGATGGAACTGATGGACAAGTACAACAGACTAGGACACTGGGTTTTCATGGATAACCTCACACTTCCCCTTCTTTATTTGACAAACTACTGACTATGGGAACCTATGCTAGTGGGACATGCAGGAAAGACAGACTGTATTTCCCACAGCAACTGGTTTCTACAAACCTACAGAGAGGAGAAGCAACATTTTTTAAATGTGGAACACTGACAACTGTGAAGCAGACTGACAAACGAGATGTTTACACACTTTCAACTATACACTCTAGTACTGTGATGACAGTGACAAGAAGATGGAGGGGCACTGAGTTTACAAAAACTCAATGGTCGACTACAAATTTATGGGAGGAATGGACCTGAATGTCCAACATTTAAGCTACAATTCTACTGGATGATAGAAAATAAATGGCATTAGAATATTTTTTTAACTTTCAGACTTCACAGTTATACAAACAACAGACCAAGCAGCCAGCATTATCCCAGAAGGAGTTCAGAATGGACCTGGTCACAGCTCTTGTTGAGCCTCTACTTCAAAACAGACTAGATCCTTCTGGTATACCACTTTCTAGAACTGTAGAAGACTCATCACCTCTGAGACACACTTTAAATAGCCATTAAGCTATACTTCTTAATAATGGTAATATAAAAAGATGTAGACTATGTTTCCCAAAAAATAAAGTACTCACAAAATGTACTCTTTGTGAAGAATTTCTCTGTACGAAACATTTCAAAGAGTATCACACTAGTGATATTCTTCAAGGAAGTTAAGATTTTATGTATATGTACAAAGTAATAGCATCTGCTCTTTTCTTTGTTTACATTTAAAGTATCTTTTAATTCTAACAAATATCTTGGTAGCATTTTTTGTATTTGAATGTACAGCGATGTTTCAGTCTTGCATTGTTTTTTGACTGAAATATTTTGGTAAAGTTTTCTTTTAGTATTACAGTAATGATACTCCCTTTCATGTGTCAAAATCAGTTTATGTTATATATGCTATCATAAGTATGACTTCTGCAGTTTTCAAAAATATTTGTTGTGAAATGTATATCTGTATGAATTTCCATTCATTCATACCATCTGTATGTACACTATTCCTTTTAGACACATATAAACATTTGTACATAACATTACTTCTCCAACATTTGTAAAATATTTTACCTTTCTAAATGTTATGAATAAACCTGTTTTAAGATGTCAACTTTCTAAAAAACATATATATATGTTACTATTTACTCATAAACGTTTAAATTTTACTTATTTTTCTTCCAATATAGAACAATAGTTAAAAAATACACTGAAAAACAGTTTTTGAGTACTTATGGCGTTAGGAAATGTGCTCATGCGTTGCACGTGCCAAGCCTCACTGTAAGCCTCATTTATTCTTCTGAGTGGAGAGTGAAGAGATATTAATTTTTGTAGGCTTTATATACATAAATTTTAAAAAAGCAAAAAATTATCCAATTACTGTATTAGTACACACAAAATCCACATAATTTATATGGATTTCTAAATAAGCTATATATGGGTTACAAAAGTCCCATTCCTATACGGAGCAATGACTTAGTCATCACACTTCAACAGTTTTGGCAAAATTATTACTTTCTCCTTCAAGCTATTTACAAACAACTGTCAGATTTACATAGAAGAGAAAATGCTCTTTGTATTGGTTATAAACACACATTAATTAATAGTTAGTGGGACTTGTATTGGTTATAAACACACATTAATTAATAGTTAGTGGGACTAGACAAGAGGTCTTAAAAGAATGGAGTAATGAGTGGAGACGCTTTGGTAGATTTGCTAAAAATATTGACATTTCAACAAATTGTAGAGGTGGGAGGTTCTTATTTTATACTTAGCTTGTCGATATCTGAAATTAGAGTTTCAAATCTGTTAGCCACTGTACACATTGTATGGTAGGCATAATAAAATGCAAACTGAGCTTAATGACAAGAGCACGTGTTATGTGAAACACAAAAATTTATATTTAACTTTATTTTAAATTACATTTCCTTTGAAATTAAAACATATATAATATTAAAATTTTAATTATAAACTACATCTTGGTGCCAATTTTCATTAATATAAGTGGTAATAAAGTTATTTAATGTAATTTTGAAAATAGCTGTTCAAAACGTCATGATGTGCACTTTTACCTGTCCAGGACGAAAGGAACAACAAATTTCTGTAAGAAAGCTAACATAGTTTACACTAGAATTATGATTTTTTTTTTTAAATTACTACTACTTATAATAATACTTATAAAAGCAGACACTCTGTTTGAAACTGTTACCTCAGTGAAATTGATTGACACTATTGTTTTGGTTTTTGAGTTATTATTTAATAAAAAAGAACAAGAAATTCAAACTTTATGCTATGGTATTTACAGACATTTCCAGAACTTGTGACTCAGTCATTACATAGATATTGTTATAAAAGGAAACACTGTATAGTATTGTAAAGTTCTGATGACCTATTAAGGAGATATTTGAAATACCATTTCGAAGAACAATCTGTACCATCCCTACATAAGCAGTGCTACCACCTGCTTGATATATTATGAAGTATTTTTGTTAAGAGTTTTGGCAAATTGCAAGCTTAAGATTTAGTTCTATGAGGAAAAATTTTGATAGTCAATGATAATAGCAAGTTCAACACACAAAAATGTGTTAAATAGAGTTAGAAATACTGATGGTTTCAAGTCATTAATAAATGATACTGAACATGAGATCCTGTTACAACAATAATATTGCAATACTCCCTATGTCCTACCTAATGTACCATTTGTGAATAATATTTTGTTCGTATCATTCAGTTCTTACCTTGCAGGTCAGTCAAGACTATTCTGTGGTCATACGAGGCTGTAAGAAGATAAAATGCCTTGGGTGAAAAACGGATGGTCCTAACGTCAGATGTATGTGGTTGAAAGCACTGGACTATCCGTCCACCTCTGATATCATACAACATGCAGTTGGCATCTTCATGCCCTGACACAAGCAGTCGACCTGAAGGATCCACACAGACTGCAGCAGCTGGACTTCCTGCAATAAAAACAAAAGAAGTCTAATTTTAAAGGCCAATTTACAATTTGTAGTTGAAAAATAACTTGTTCTGTGCTCAATAAGTGTATATATAGTATGCATGTTTGTGAAAATCTATGAGAACTCAATACTGACACAGTATATAAATGAAATTACTGGCCATACAGAGAAATTCTGTTTGTTGTTTTACAACACAACTGGATTACTTTCATGACTATGTCACACTGAAGTGAACATATTATTTTCTCTGTTTCACAACTGTCAGTTAAATCCAGTGTCTGCAATTATCTGCACAAAGTGAGCTTTTTTTATTATATGCATCAATTTCAGAGTAAAAAGAAATAGCTGTTGAATCATATTCTTCCAACATGTGTTTTATAACTGTTGGATTACGAGTGGATCAAGTCATAATGCAGTTTCAAGCTGTGCTTGGTTTTAGTTAATTTCTTTTTATTACAATGAAAGTAAATCAATTCCAGATCATTACAAATTACTCCTCTATCAAGAGCATACGCAACATTTTGTTTTTAAAAGTGAAATATTCGTAATCATTTTCTGCATAATCTAAATTTTAAATTTAGTTTCAGACATATAAAAAAAAGCCCTAAAAAATGGGGTTAATTTATTTTTTCATTGTAGATATTAAAATGAATGCGTGTACACCAATAATATTGGCAGTCAGTTTTTCTCTAAAGTTTTATTAACCAACAAAATTCCACAAGATCAGTAAAACACGAAACTTATCCAAATGTGTTGATATGTCTAGTCAACAAATACACAGAAGAATTACTAGTCACAAGTTCTTGCACTGAAAGTCCAATTAAACAGACACAGAACAAACATGAGTTACATGTGCTGGTAACAAGTCTTGTCAAATATATAATCACACAACAATCATCAATCACATTTTAGTAACAAGAGCCTTGCGAAATACACAAGACACATGACCATTAGCTACCTCTGCTGATAAAAAAAAAGGCTTGCCATAGACAAAAAAACATTATTCACCAAGTCATGCCAAACACACAAGACACATAGCAACCATTAGTGACACGTGTGGTAACAAGAGATTTGTCAACAGTGGTTGCAAAACAGATGTTCTATGAGCAGAAACAATGTGTCATAAAAACCAACAGTTTCTGAAATAAACATACACTAAAAACAAATGTACCTTGCCTGTTGTAATTAATTTTTGGTCCAAAGAGCAGAATGATATAGTTACCTTTCCACCTACAGTTTAGTCCAAAGAAAATAATGAATCTCTAGGAAGAAAACCATTCATGAGCTTCCTCCATTCTTCCCCAAGTAAATGAAATTGAACCATTTATTTAAATGAAATAACAGCAAAATATAAGGCCAATTAGAGTACAGTAAATGATAATTACCTAGATGGAGATGAAGTCTAGATCATCAAAATATATATACATGTGGAAATCATTGATGTTATATTATTAAAAAAATCCAAGTAAATTAAAAATGAAAATATTATTTATATGTTTCTGGTACATAAATAAAAAATACATAATCCTATATATGGGGGTTGATATTGGTTATAGCTCTCAGAAGCTGTAGTTCATAGCCTGCACCACTTTTCTATCTGTTGTTTATGATATATTGTTGAATAATACACACACACACAACTTCTTTTAATAGTTGTATTCTTCAATATTTATAATTTCTGGTACTTTTTGTTTTAAATATAACTGTAACAACCTTCCCTAACTTCAAGGTATATTATTATCTCCAGTCACTATTGCAGGGTTCTTGCAATTTGAGAATGTGGAAAAATAATGACTTTTTTAAAGTGATAATTATTGACTTTTTAAATATTTTGATAAGAGTACTACATTGTGATAGTATGAAAGATTCCTGAAACCAACATAAATTATACATTTACAGTAATAAATCAATTAGAAAGTAGACTTTCAGATACTGTTGTTATCAAGAGACAGTAGGGCCAAGCTGAGAACCATAAATACATCAATCAATGTGAAAGAACTTTATTTCAATTCAATAAAATGACTCTTCTGCATGTCATGTGTCATCATATGTTTATCATTGAATATTATTACTATTATACTTGTTAGTGTGTATACTTTTCAAACGAGTAGCTTTCTCTTCAGTTCGCTTCTCCATCATCTCTTTTGCATATGACTTTTCTGCTTCCTCTGAAACTTCTAAATTTTAAACAACACTCTGTGGAATTTGTGATTTTTTTTCTTCAAGCTTTCAATATCATCTTTAGTTTGATTTCTTTTAATGCTTTCTTCCTCTGTTTTCTGCTCTCTCCTCACTTTCTCTAAGTGATCTCGGTACATTGCTTGGACACAGCTTGCAGACTTGAGCAGTTCTTTTTTCAAGGGTACATTAAGTACTCCCCAATAAATACAGATTACATCTAGCACAATATGTAGTGCCACAACAGTGTCTTGCTGCTGGCTGTCTGGCTTACTGACTGAGAAGCCATGCTCAACAGTTACTTGTCCATGCAACAGCAGTAAAAGATTCTTGCAAACATCTAACAAATTTTTATACTTTCAGGTACACATAAAAAGAAAAAGAAAAGGATCAAATCTAGTTTTCCTTGGAGCAAATTCCTTAAACTCCTCCACCCTTGCATCAGTGTACAAAACTTGTTGCATCTTCTGATAAATATGCTCTCCAGCTACTAGGCCACCTGTGAGAATTTTGGAGTTTATCATGTTATGTGTCAATTTTTTTCATCTTGGAGACACAAATATCTGGTTCTTTGAACATGTTTTTTAGATCTGGACATCAAATGTTGAATATAAGTGAATACTTTAAAAAGATTTTCTCTAATATTTTCTTGATCATGGCTGTCATTGACGCTGTCTCGATAGCACTTGCAAAAAACAATGAAGAGGATAAATATATATATAATTTATAACATGCTAGTAATCTTTTAAATCATGAATAAATTTGTAAGTGATACACCAGCATATATATATATATATATACACACACACAAATTATGCATACCTTATATACAAATCATTTTTATTATATAAGCTATCACCAAATTGAACCAAGTAAACTTATCTGTAAAAAGTTAGCTGTTAAGATTGAGGAACAAGGTATGTTTAAATTGTTACTATATGTACAATGAACCCTGCCATTTAAGACTCCTGCTTTTCATACCACCTTTTCATACTTTGTGACCACGTTTGCATTTTATGATTTATGATAATTTCTCACAGAGACACTGTCACATCTGTAATAAAAGACCTTTCACTTGAGTATGCACATTATATAGAAGTGATCTTACATGACAGAATTTACTATTAAGAAATTTGTGACATACTGTGAGAATTGTTTTAGCTGGAAAGCCAACACCCACTTTGCTAGAATGTACATGCTCTTCTTCCTGGAAACAGCAATCTATTTCAGCTTCTCTGCTGTTCTGTGTGATCAAGGTGCTCCTTTTTGATGAGTTGGAAAAGCAAACTCTGAAGTTTCAAAATTTGTTCTATTATGATAATCTGTAATTTCACTGGTATCAGTGTAAACCATTTAAATGCTGAGAAACAAAACTTCACTGGAATTTCATAAACACTTAATAAATGCAAGTTAAATCATTAGTATATTTGGAGCGGTTTATAGTTTATAAAAACATGTTGTAGCAGAAATGAAGTATATTAAAAAGCTCATTACTGAGACTCAAGATCTGGCAGCTGGTCTGCTATTTGATAGGACACGCTAACTCATGGACACTATTTTCATAGAAAAGTTGAAAACAATAGCTATTTTACAGCTAATGTTACAATTTTAATATCTATGTGTACCTGATTGATGAAATAATTATTCAATTATTCATTCATACTACTCATTTGATGAATAATGAATGACAATTTTGTGCTAAATATCATACCTTTAGCAGGTCTTGCAGCTGTATAGGATAGTGGAGGTTCATCAGAATAGTAACATGCCAGAAATGGAGTAAACTTCATGGATATTTCCAGGAAGAACTGCCACCTGGCTCTCATTAGATGATCTTTGCTTGCTTTAGCCAGGAAATCAAAATACACATTGTGAGGATGTGAAACATTTTTAATAGTCACTGCTTCACTATACAGCGTAACATTATCCCAAACAACTACAGGCTGATTTTTTCAACCATCAATGACCACAAAATGTTAGTGAAAAATTGCAATCCTGTGTAACATTACTGATCAAAATACAGTCTTCACACCTAGCAGGAGCATTCTTGAAAAGCTGATGCATGTTGCTCAAAATGTCTTCTAAGTCCCATGCAATAAAGCAAGCTGAAAGTATAGAATTTATATACTCAATATTGCCAGCATGTCAATGCTTTTGGTCTGTGTATTCCATTAACGACACAAAATTACAATTTATTTTTTTGAGAAGATGATACATACATTCTTCTAATATTTGATACAGGACCCATAATTAACAAAAATAATAATTATTTGTATTCATTCTTTTGCATTTGAACTATTAGCATGTTACCCTCGTAGGCAATGTGTGAAACCCACAACTGCCAACAATCAGAAGCTGCTTTCCACCAAATTGTTCTTCCCGCACCATTTCTATGAATTTACACTTGACATTAGGATCGTCCATGGAGATGTTTATTAGCTTCTTTAAGTTCAGCTGTGCAGTACATTCCTGAAAGACTGAAAACAAGGCATTGCCAGTTGTTTTGGTGGAAATATTATATTTTACACGATCTAAGACAGATCAAAAAAGTAGGCCTGATATTATTAAATTGAACAGGTCTAGATCTGGTACACAAAATTTATACTATATATTGTAGATCTGATTCTATATTAATGGCAAATTAAACAGATTGATAACTGTATGGTTGACTGATTGCTTACACGAACACTTCTAAGTCTATAAAAAATTTACAGGCCTATATATATATATAGCATGTGGGTAAAACTACTGAAAGTTAACATTTTACTCACCTGAAAATATATTTCTGATCAATACACACTTCTACACACAATTAAGTTATCTTCCCCATGTGTTTGCCTGTCAGATGTTATAGTTATGTTTGTCAATTGTCAAGTAAAGGCTTTTACTTATACTTCTTAATAGTATAAATATATATATACTGTGTTGTTGTTGTTTTGGGGCTTATGATTCTTCTACAGTACCTGTCTGTCACGTTGGTGATAAATTTAAAAATCAACAAACACTACTCACTCCACTTGTTTTCAAAATAATATATATATATTCAGAATTAGTTAAATGTATGTACAACAAATTCTTTATATTACAGAGATTGTAGGCATTCCATAAACACTATATAGCTCTCTTCTTCTTGTCAAAAGTCAACTTAGGCCTATTCAATTGCTTTATAATTTCAGTTGACAAGCTGAACTATTTTTCTCTATTACTATTGCCAAACTATTTGAATACAGTTCACTTACTTTATTGTCTGGTTACCACGGTTGTATCCTATACTTCTAAAATCATCTGCTCCTTTTTCTCTCTTTGTATTTCTGAGAATTGTCTGTCAAAGTCCACTGAGGCTAGTCCAATGATTTGATGAAATAAACTATTCTTCTTATCTCTTTCAATATCGTTAGCCTCACTTTAATATATCAACCATTAGGCCTTCCATTAATATGACGATTAACTTTGCGTTTAACTTTTCTTTGGCCAAATTTCTTTTCATAACTTTACTTCTCATTTGCTTTGCCTGTCTGTCTACTTTTCCCACTCATCTCACACTGTTTATATGTATGTTACTTAATCATCTGCTCGCTATATCCTCGATATCAATGAGTTATAAACACAATGTATGACTCTTATCAATTACGTAATTAAACTTGTCATAACATTTACCTTAAAATAATTGCTTCTAACTCTCTTGTTATGCATAAAACTAAACTATCATAAAATATTCACTCACAAAATAAATTAATCAATAATATCTACACTAAACAGTCTTTTATATTATGACACTGCCTTAGAGATTTGCATGCCACTAGCCTTTAGGCAACTCTCATGAGATTTTTTGTGAATTGTGCTATGGCATAATGATTTTATTATGCAGCAAAAGCCTTCCACTAATAAGAGAGTGACATACTTCCTTGTGCACTAACTCCCTATATGCTTTTGCACTATCAGAGCTACAATTTCATGTAAGGAAAATATTAACTTCTGAGACAATACCTCATCACACAATTAAGCTAGAACCCTACACTGGAGGGACCAGTGCAATGAATATTTAGATGAGTTCCTTTCAGACAACACCCAAATGAAACTCATGGAGTGTGTGACATATGATGGCTCCATAGGGACACATCTGTAAAAGACCACATCTCATCTCTTCCACGATATACTCTTCACCCAGGAAAGAGGGAGGAAGAGGCAAATAAGCCCCATGTGTCACAGGGATGAGCAGAATAAGAACATGGCCATATGAGTACTTGCACACAAGGGATCAGAGAGCCAGTATGTGTAATGTGGTTGGGGCATGTTCAGAACTTACCTTGAACTCACCTCAACTCTACCATCAGACTATAAAACCAACACCTGCTGTAGGAGTAGGACACAATATTCATGCCATAGAGTGTAGAATAATGTGTGTATGTGTGCACACTTTAACTTGACTGAACAGACATCAGTTACATGAAGAGGGCATGGTTTGTTAGTTCATGCTCACCCCAACTCTACTGAACAAACATCAGCTACAGAAGTAGGGCACTGTCTATTGGTGTGTGCTCATTTTGTTCAGTTGAGTGAGCATCAGCTGCAGGAGTAGGGCACTGTCTATTGGTGTGTGCTCATCTCACTCTACTGAACAGGTGATGTTCACAGGAGAAGGGCACAATCTTGAAATGTGCATGCCTCAACTTTACAGAACAGACTCAGGCAACATGAGGAGGGCACAAGTGGCATGTTATATGAGAGGGTGACCTGTGCTACACTGACAGTATCATCACTTCCCAGTGATTGGCACCATAGTGGTTAGGTTCCAATCAGTGAGGATTCCCTATGGTCCACCACCCCAGAGCTAGGAACTGGTAATTGGCAAGGGGGAGGAATTTGCAATGGGGAGATCCAGAGAAAATGCCTAGATATCCATTGATCCTGTTTCAGCCAGAAAGATCTTTTACTGGAACAGTGCAATGGGTGGCCACTTATCTCTTCTTGGAAAAGCCAAGGCAAACCCTGGTGTTGGCTTATTCCATGATAGTCCATGGAATAGGTACAGTCTGGATCAGATAGTAGGCAGATATAAGATATACCATGAGGATGCCTCAAGTTGTCTTGTGGAACATCCCATCTCAAAAGGTTATATACATCTAGGGCAAATGATATGAGCACTTTCCATTATCCTTGCTCGATACAGAATTTTGGGAAGTAAGTATACCCTGGGAAGCACCACCAGCCACCTAAAGGGATCCTATAAGCGAATGCTGTAATAAAAAAAAAGGAAACATGCTCATCTGTCTAAACAGTGGTTAAACTGTAGGATGATGATAACCTTCAGGAGATGAGATAACCAAATGGTGAAGATACTAGGCAACAAAAGTGTGAGAGGTAGTTTACAAGCCAGCTTGAAGGATCTTATCCAGCAACCACTAGAAATGAGTAGCAAGGGAATGAGTGAGGTGACAAAGCTGGTGGAATGAAATGAGGAACAGTTTGAAAGTATTGATCCCTAATGAGGAAATGACCAAATATAGAAACTGATAAACTCAACCTGTACGGGTAGAAAAAGATACTTCCCTAGAGAAGAGGAATCCCAAGGAATGTAGAGTCGAAGACAGGAGCCATGAAAGTGATGAGCATGAGCTAAGTAGCAGAGAAAAGAACAAAAAGGTCACAAAAATCTGTTTAGGTCCGATCAACCATAGAGATGTGAAATAGAAGGACTGGTTAGGATAAAGAATATAAGAATGATACAAAGGGGTAGGGGAAGTCTATAACATAGGTATCTATATGAAGTGACCACAGGCAAGTAAGAGCACACAAGTCTTAACAGAAAGGTAATATAAATTGCAGGTTGCCAATTGCTCGAGAGATGCACAGGTAAGAGTATGCAGGACAACAGTGAGGTCCCAGATGGGCATAGGAACAGGGCAAGTGCATTTATGGATAAGAAAGACCAAAATAAGGTGGAGAGAACTGTGGTGGAAAACACTCTGCAGTATTGAGAATGGTGAAATTCCACCCAATAACCTGCAATAATGGAGATAACTGATCTACTGTCAAATAGCCAGGTAAAAGGAAGAGAGATGATTGACAGTAAGACAGATGAACCAATGTCAAAAGACACACCACTTATGTAGGTAGACAGATAAAGTAGAATAATGACAGGAATGGAAAAGGAAAATGGCTATCAGATTTCAAAGTCTGATTTAATGGGCAATGGACTGGACAAATCCTAAATGTGAAAGCGGAGGGACAAGATCCCATGATGAAACAGTGACATGTGAGGTTGAAGCAAAAGAGAGAGAAAGCATAATTGGCAGGGGAAGAGAGAATTGGGTTGTCAGGTGGCATAGAAGAGGGAACCAGGGTTAAGCCAGCCAGAGGTGTACCACCAAGAGGACACAACAGGGAGTGTCTTGAATCAAGGCCAAAACCTGAGGTACAAGATAGAGTGGTGCATTGATATGGATAGAGGATTAGGTAAAATAAATAATAATAATAATATAATAAAAATGTTTCACGAGGCATGCATGCATGTGAGCAACTCATGGGTAATGTAATTTGATAGTGTAATGTGAGCTCCACATTCCCCAAGTGATTTACAACTTATAATGCATGAATAGTACTTAGACATGGTTGAAAAAGCAATCAAAGGCAATAAAACAATAAAATTTAATTATAAATAGATGTATACT